GCTGTGCTGCTGAGCTAAATCCCCAGCCCCTATAAGATTTACTTATTTATTTATTTAGTTTGTTTTTTGGGGGGGTTTTTCTCCGGTACTGGGAATTGAACTCTTAGTAGTCTTTTGTTCAGAGTTTTTGGGGTCTTCCATGTTCAGTATAACATGTCATCAGCAAATAATGACAATTCAACTTCTTTCTTTCCTATTCACATTCCCTTTATTTCTTTCTCTTATCTAATTGGTCTGGCTAATGTTTCTAGAATTACATTGAACAGGACAGATGATAGTGAGCATCCTTGTCTTATAGGAGAAAAACACCTTCACCGGGAGAAAGAGCATCGTTAATAAATGGTGCTAGGAAAACTGGCTTTCCACATGCGCAAGATTACACATACACCCATATCTCTCACAGTGCACTAAACTAAAATAAAAATGGAACAAATATCTCACTATTAAAATAGAAACAAGGTGCTGGAAGAATGAATAGGTAAAACTCTTGGAAGTGACAGGTGTAGGCAAAGACTTTCTGAATAGAACCCTGGGTGTACAATTAATAATACCAGAAATCAACAAATGGGATCACATCAAATTAAAAAGCTTCTGTACAAGAAAAGAAACTACCAAGACAGTGAACAAAAAACCTACAGAATAAGAAAAAATTTTTGCCACATACTCCTCAGACAAAAGGCTAATATCTAGAATACATAAAGAACTCAAGAAAATTCGACCCTCAAAATTTAAAGATTCAATCAAAAAATGGGCATCTGAAATAGACACTTCTCAGGTAAAGTACAAATGGCCAATAAATACATGAAAAAATGTTCAACATCATTGGTCATTTGAGAAATACAAATTAAAACAACACTGAGATTTGGTCTTACTCCAGAAATAACGGCTATTATCAAGAAATCAAACAACAACAAATGCTGGAAAGGTTGCAGCAGGTGGGAAGAGAGAAGGAACCCTCTTCCTTGTTGGGAGTGTAAGCTAGTACAAATCCTATGGAAATCAGAATGGAGTTTCCTCAAAAAACTAAAAACAGAAATTCCATTTGACCCAGCTATTCCCCTTCTAGGTTTCCTCTCAAAAAAGACATTGTATCTCAGTGATGTATGCAAACTTATGTTGGTAGTAGCACAATTCATAATAGCTGAAACTTGGAAATAGCCCATATGCCCATGAATAGATGAATGGATAAAGAAAACATGGAATTTATGTACAATGGAGTATTACTCTGCCTTAAAGAAGGACAAACTTGAAAGACATTTTTTGGTAAATGGATGCATCTTGAGACTATAATTTTAAATGAAATAAATTAGACACACAAGTTCAAACATCACATTGCTTCTCTTGTATATGAAGCCCAAAAGGTAAATAAGGAGCAAAATTGAGGACAGATATTGTGAAGCAGTAAGAACTTGTTCAAATGGGAAGGGGAACAAGTGAGGGGAAAAAGAGAAGAAAGAAAGGAGAGGGGATTTTAAAAAAGGAAACTGGAAGGAAAAAATGGAAACAATTTTTGCAAATGAAGGGCGGAAAAAGGACTGAAGGGAGGGGAGGGGGATGGGCAAAAAGAATTAAGGTAGATCACGTAGGAATACCAATTTCCCGTGATGAATGTGATCACTATGTGTGGCAAACATGTACTAATAAAAAAAAAGAATGCAGAAAAGAAGCCCTACGGAAGGCTCATTCTGGAGGGCAAGTATGTAAGGGACGGTGGGTGGCAGGGGAGGAGGAGGAAGCGCAGTATAACTGGCTCCAAGGTCTTAGGCTGGTGCTAGAAGAATGACAGCGCCAGTAACAGGGAATGGGTACCACCTGCTGTTGGCTGTTCACTCGATGCCAAGAACACATCCAACCTATTTAACATAAAACATACTCGTGCATACACACGAGGAAGAGATATAGGCGGCACAGGAGACCTAGGTGTTCTGACCTTAAGATTTAACAAAAATGTAAAGGAAGACAGCTAGAAACAAGGGTTTGGTATTTGGGAGAAAGGTTGAGAATCTCCATCGAGATTGGGAATCATTTGTAAGAAACAACATCTGATGACATCTTAAGCTCCTGAAACTTAATTTTCTGCTAATATTCAATTTATGTCAAAGGAAATGTAAACCAACACGATTAGGTATCTGCTCCTCAAATTTAGTGCTGAGTGGCCTGTGGTGAGTATAGCTAGCAATGAATTTAGAGTGCTTTCCAGAAATAAAAGAAATTATTCGGCTGAAAGAAGCTATTATTGTTTTTAAAAAGTGATATGTAAACCACTCAAATGCCAGCCATGTGGAACTTTTTATTTTAAGCAGATATCCTTTTACTAAGGAAGTAATCTCTAGGATTTAAAAAACAAAACAAAACAAATCATTAAATCATCTCAGTAAAATGTTAGCTAAATGTTTTTCTAATTACCACTCAAAATATTTGAATACAAATTTATTGAGAGTAATCTGCTATATGTCAGGTGCTATAAGTAGCTGACATGTATTAATTTAATGTTTACAACACATTTCTAATTTAAAAATAAATGTTACATAGGCCCAAGCAGTCTGTCCTGTGCTACAAACTCTGTAGCCTATATTGACTGTTTATCACATTTTGATTTCCTTGAGTTTTGCAAGATGAGGACATTCCGCTAAAAAGTCAACTCTGGCATAAAAAGCTGCACATTTCTTTATAAAACACAACCCAACTGCCTTAACTTTACGGGTAATAACAGCATATTTTCTATTTAAAATAAAGTAGAAACAAACCGAAATAGAAAACTAATCAACCAAGCAAAACTAACTAACTAAACAATAAAAGCAACATGCAAATTTTTTGTTCTCATTATACAAGGGTATGAGTTGCTTTCTCAGCTTTGGTGAGGAAGAAGCTTTACTATCTGGACAATGGAGTGGATACTTCAGGTGACTGTACTCAACCTGACACTAAAAATGAAGCAAAGTAGGTATGAGATGTTTAATTCTAGAAAAATCAACCCAGTGTTTCAAAGATGTGCCTACTAACTTAAAAAATAAAATAAACCATTCATGTAGTGATTAAAATAGTACCCATGACTACTATTTGCAATTAAGATAAATATATACAAGGAAACAATTTGGGCTGGAGCAGGGTATGGTGGTAAATGTATGACAGGATACTCACAAAACAATAACAAAAACAATCAGTTTCATATTTCCAAAGGTATGAATTTGAATACTGGACCTCAGTCACACAGAGTATTTTTTGAAATAAGTAACATGGGAATCAGAAATCTTTTAATTTATGTTTTAAAATATTCTAACTAGGGTGATTTTTCAACCAAATTTATTTTTGTAAGTGTGATTATTTTAGAATTTTCATTTGAGAATTGTTTCTGTAAGTCTAGTTTCTTATTAGCAGCTAGACAATTAGTCTAACTACCTATTTAAATGAAGCAAGCTACTCAATTATATTATAAAATTAGGAGATATTTAAAGAAATGAGTTTAGCCAAAATCCACCTGGTACTGGCTAAAAAACAGGCCTGAGGATCAATGGAACAGACTGGAAGAAACAGACACAACCAAAAACACACTAAACCACCTAATCTTTGATAAAGGGGCCAATCAAACTCACTGGAAGAATGATAGCCTCTTTAATAAATGGTGCTGGAAAAATTGGCT